CCCCAAAACCCCAAAACCCCAAAACCCCAAAACCCCTGAAGATGTGGCTTTTATTGAATGTACTTTAAACTTAAGAAATCAGATCCCTGATACCAGCTTTTGCCTCACTCGGGAAAGAGACTTCAAGTTCCAACTCTTCTTTGATCCAAGAAGAGAAGATATCAGTGATCTGGGCTCTTGCATCAGTGAGAAGAGGATCATCTTCGGGATAGTCTCCGTGGAGATCAACACAGTGAGCACAATCATCACAGTCAATTACAAAGGTGTGGAATGTTGGGTTGTCACTCTGAGTGACACTAGAGTGTTGCCATGGGTCTTCTCCTCCATTTGTGAAAATTATTTTAGTGGAGACTAGCTCTTTACCTCCATATCTATTGTTCCATGCCTCGGTGTTTGGGAAGATATCAATGCCGAAGACATTTTTACAAACTCCTCTCCAATAATCGACATCAACTTGTTTGCTTCTCATTGCATAAGTCTAAATATTACTGGGGTTAACTTACATCATGTGAAGGTGTCTGGAAGTATCCAAGATTTGAACAGAATTGATAAGTCCATTGTCTTCCATTTTTGTTGTTGTTTATGGTAGTGTCTTGTAGATATGAGACTGGGTATTCACTCAAGGCAATTCCAAGTCCTTCTGAGAACTTCACTAACCAGTCAATAGTTCCCTCTTGATCGTTGAGATCTACTTGCGAGATTTGGTTGCAGAAATCTGTTCTTTTACCGTATTGAATTGGACCCGCAGCAATATCTGCAAGGAAGTTGAAGAAATCTCCGTCTGTGAGCTCGTCTCCTTCGTATCCAAATTTAGCAAAGACCCTCTCCTTCTCTCCTGAGAGTTGTTCAGAGTTTTCGAATAAGTCTTCAAATGCTTTAGTAATACCGATAAATTTTTCTGGACACTCAGTTCCACTCTTTGAAGTTGACTTGAAAACTTGGCCATCATATTCATGATAATCAGTGACAGCTTGCACGACTCCTGATGAGGAGAGGGACGCAAAGGCAATGTGTGGATACTTCTCTCTGAACCAAGCTGACAATGCTCCTGGATAACTTCCTCCTACAGTGATCCATCTCCTGAATGGAATTCCAAAAGTATCACTGAACTCCTTGGATTTGTCACTAGCAAATTGGGCAAGATCAGCAAGACCTTGGTCTGGGGTCAAAAATTGGAGATTCTCTGTGGACCAGTCTTCAAAAGGCTGACTGTGTCCATAGAATCTGTGCTCTAGAGCAAGGACTCTTCCGCTGAACTTCTTAGCAAGATTGACAACAAAGCTGTTTTCAGCTGGTTGTCTACAAGTTCCTTCCCCACAGATATACAAAAAGAGTGGTCCTTCCTTTGGATCCCAGTAATGGCTGATATCGTAGTACTTCTGCTTGAAGGTACCCTTGTTTTGAGGATTGAAATGGTCAAGTCTTTGTTCGTACCAAAGCCAGTCCCTGTTAGGCTGTCTAGCGTTGAGTCTCTCTTCTTGTATCTCTGACAAATGCAGTCTCGCACTGACAATAGATAACAATAATATTGCAACAAGTGTTATTTTCATATTTATTATTATAAGAAGCAATATGAGTTTGTTTTATGGGGTTTTGGGGTTTTGGGGTTTTGGGGTTTTGGGG